TTACGTCGAATACGCGGGAGTAGCAACAGTATCCTGAACATGTTTGTTAATAAATTGGATAGTCCTCTCGTGAAAATGCTCTCCGAGAGGACTAGATCATTATTAGTAATTAAGTATTAACATAGTTTTTAAGTACACTTACTAACAAGAATGGATCCCAGTTATCTGGAAGTAAATAAATAAATAAATAAATAAAAATAAGCTAACTAGCTTAAAAACCATTAATCTTAACTGAACGCAATATTCAATATAACAACGTCTGTTAATAGAGAAAAATTACCTGTAATGAATATTATCACAAGGCAGCTAAAGTTGAACAACATTAGCTAGATACCAAATTAAAATCCAAACGATGTACAGCCTTCTACAGGTTATATAAACAAGAAAATGTCTGAAGATCAATGCACTTGGCATACGTGATTCATCTCTCGTTCTATACTTAAATAATATAATGTAATAGACAGCATTATCACTGTATCAATTATTTTTATTGTAATTATTTTTGGTTTAGAGACAAAGTAGTAAATAAAAAAAAATATTCAAACTTTAGCTAATTGTACTATGACGAAGGCCTACGAGTATGTACAGTGGATAATTGTCAGCGGAAATGATGATGTTAAATGATGGTAGTTTAAATAAAAAAGATAAATAATTTTAACAACCAACCAACCAAAATATTACTTTGAGATATATATTTATTGTCTATTATTTATTATTTATATTAGGCATATTTAATAAACAGTTTTTGTACAAAAAATAATTAAACTGTAGCGGTCGAATGTTTGTACATAGAAAAACAAATACTAAAAACCCAGTCAGGGGGATGTTAGAAGTGAAATAGAACACATCCAGATTTTTTTAATTTTTTTGTTTATCTATCTGTTTGTCCGAGCTAATCTCCAAAATTATAAGACATATTTAAATAAAATTTTGCATGGTAATACCTTATATCTCCGATCAACATTTTAGTTAGGTACTTTTAATGATGGAAAATTAAAGAGTTCATGTGGGATAGTTAATAGTAACTTATATCGCTTAGTGCACAACGTACTTAAGGCATTTTGACCTAAGGCAAATAGTACACCAAAATTAACAAATGACGTGTCGTTCTATATGTCATTTGTTAATTTTAGTTTATTACAATAAGGAGGTTAAAAATGTTAATCGAAGAAATAACAAATACATCAACTAATTTAAAAATAAAATAAAAAAAAACTATATACATTATTACTACACAAGTAGAAAAATATTTTGAAAATCACTATTTTTTCATTTTGTGCTATTTAGATTGCTAAGTTTTCTGAATATGCAATATACATATATTCTATGTTTAAAAAACAAAAGATCCCAATTTATAAAGTCACACCATTACGAACTTAGTTCAATTTCAGAAGTCTAGTAGTTTATTATATTAAGTAGATATCTAATTAAATATTAAGATTGAAACTACATACATTATATTTTAGGAATACATACCAAGCCGTAAATTAACTTCTTCAACAAGTTTAATATATTTATTATTATATTCACATCAGTGACTTATTAATATGGATATTATATTTACACATTATAATTAACTTATCTACATTAAATTACTTTAAAATAGTGTACAATAGACATAATAAAATTATCAAAAATTAAGTGTTATTTCACTATCTGTGGTGATATTTCACTATAGGAGTATGATATATTTAATATGTCCACAAACCTGGCATTTCATTTTCATAACTTATTAATTAAAAATAATCAGAAAAAGAAACATGAAAATGTCACTTAACATTCATTATTTATCTACTTTTTATTTTATATATTAATTATTTATTTTATTTTATTTAATTACCCTGCAAATACATAAAAAAAAACCTATGAATTTTTAGTACCACTTAAACCTCTTGGGCTTGTGTGTGATACTTTACGTTTCGTTCTCAAATGTTGATATTACTTGCAACTTTCTCGTATATAAAAGTTGTCTATAGCGTGTGGTACATCTTATCCCCATACAGGACTTTTGGGTGACTGCAGGGTGCGGAGAATCGCGGGGTGTACGGTGCAACGTCTTCCCCCTGCCTCTAATTAGGCTCACATTCTCATTCCGTTTTCGCGTTTAATTTCGCTGGCGGTTTCGCCTTAATTACGTTATTCGTGGCTGCTGTTCCCGACTCCCGTACAATCAGTGACCGATAAGGTTTCTACATTTAATATTATGATTGTAAGTCGTGTCGCAATGAGGGATTGGTTTTATTTAATTATTGATATCTCCGTTACCTACACTTTTTGTCGCTATTAACCACGTTAATAATTTTTTTTTATGCAATTTATAATGACAATCAAGCTGACGGCCCATCTGATGGAAAGTGGTAACCGTTGCCTATAGACATGAGCAGTACCATGGACATAATAGAGGACTCAGGTGTTATTCCTCTGTACCCTGTAAATTCACTGCCATATCCCACACTTGAAACCGAAAAACAGCCATGCAAACATAATTGCTTCACGGTAGAAACAAAAATGGGACAGAGGTTCCCAAGCAAACGACTTTTGTACAAAGTCTCCCTCTGGTATATATTACATTAATATTGTATATTTTTAGCAGTTAGCTATGACTGCGTCGTTATACGAGTGACTAGGATAAAAGTAAATTAATTAGGTGGGATAAAAAGTGCCCGTAAAAAGTAATGTTCGTCTCTAATTTAAAAACCCTACAAATACTTACCTATGTAAAATTTAATGACAATTGGGTAAACCGGCACTAACAACAAACAAACCCACTTTCATATTTATAATATTAATAAGGATAAAGGTTTTCATTGTCAGTGGTGTCAGTCATTGTTTGTTAAGTAAATTTATTACAAGCCAATAGAACGTCTCTTACGAAACATGTTTTAATTTAGAGTTGTTGAAATTTTCGTTAACTCATCGCCCTTATTGCCGCTGACAAATACTCAAACGTAGGCAAAAGAGGACTTGGAAATAAAAAATTCACTAACAAGATGACTTACATTTTCGCGTTAAACATTCGAATGTGCAGCTCATCGCTGTAATTGAAAAAAAAAATCACTTAACAGGTAAATAGAGGGTCGGGAGGAGTCTCAACGTTGGGCCGCTTTGTTGTCGGGTGGTTGCTAATAAGATTTTTAAACGGCAACAAAGTATCCAATCAATGGGGCTTGAATAATGAAAACGACACCTGCTAGTTCCCAGGCCACCCCCGCGAGCCTAAACACGCACCGAGTTACGCGACCGACACAAGCAAATCCAATAAACAACTCTATGGCTATACATTTACTACACAATTCACATAGACGGCCCTTTGTCAGTATTCAAACAGACATAAGTTTGAGCAATTATGCACAGTTTTGTTTCGTGTCCCCTGAGCTGACATTATTATATATTTTTTTTATTTATGAACAATGAATTTTAAAGCAGACATTCATAATTCTTCACATTGTAGCGATGTTTTATTTTTAAAAATATGTCGACTGAGATGTGTCTAATTTAGTACGTGTATTTACGTATCCGTTTTCGAATTTGTTTTGCGTTCAAAATGATTGTTCTTTATTTAATTTTAAACTTTTATAATGTTAAACGCGTACTTTTAAACTTATTTTACATTGAAATTCTCCATATTTATTCATTATATTTATTATATATATTAATATTATATCGTTATACTCACATTATGAAACTTTATACAAAATTCTGCGAAGCCAAATATTTCATATGAAAACTTGTAAAGGTACGCGAGGTCAACGAATACGATCGACTCAAAATTGTGGACATTTCCTCGCCCCAAACTTGTGATCGCGAAATTAACAAAACAAAGACATTAGTAGAGCTTTCGTAGATCAGGACCGGGTGCGATTTAACGAAGTGCGATAGGTGCGCACGCGACGCGCGCTCATTAGTAGACACGCAACGCGGGTCGGTAGGTAGGTTGGTTTACACGCCACAAATAGCCGACCCTTAAAGCCTTCATTAGACATGGCCGACAACAAGTGTAATGATTTTACACACGCTCTCCTCACAGACTCTTGACAACCCATCGTTATTTTTTACTATGAAGAAGATACACGGTTATAAGCTAAGAGACGGACAAACACTCTCCCCTCCCCCATGTTGTGCCTAATTTAATCATTTCGTCAACTCTACAGAAATAAATTTATCTGGACAGAGTTACAACCCTTTTATTATGTCAGACACAGAAATTAGGCAAATTACATTCAGCAAAGCAAATCGTTCCAAAAGAATGGGCTACTGAAATAATTGTCTACTTTACTCTCAGAGAAATAGAATTACAATCTAAATTAATTACGCTTTTAAAGCGTCCGTTATTCTTAATTAGTTTCTGCACCGCAGCGGAAGCTCCCGCGCCCGACTCGCGCTCTCTTAATGAAGGGTAGTTTCAAATCAGTGCGTTTGATCAACTCTGTGCAGTCTTAATTACGGCACCCGTTCCGCGCGGGACAATCCGGTTATTTATGACTACATAAGCTTGATTATTCTTTAATGAATACTTGTTTTAAAACGTTTAATTAAGTTTTATGGCGACAGGGCCGCTCAGACGGCGTCCCGCCGCTCCGCCGGCCGCGAGCTAATTGGATCGGGTTGACGCACTCCTCCTCTCTCGCCCCGCGCTCACCAACCTCCTCCCTTCCCTCTAGCACCCTTACCGCTTCTAATTGTATGAAATTGCTAATTGGAAAATTTTATAAACGCGGCCGCCCGCAGGCCTATATCCGAATCTGCTGTACCCTGACCAAGGGCTGCGAAGAAAAATTAAATCAAAGGGTCAAACCTCTTCGAGGCGTTGTTAACGAGTCACAATTACTAAATGTTGTTTACAGGTGGTACAATGTAATTAATGTTTTTATAGGAACAAAGCTGTCTTTTCAAAAATATTTTTTATTTAAATCTTTAGTTTTATTGTTGTACAATTACAGATAAGTACTCGTATATAAACTAAAAACCGAAGGTACAATATGTTTGTATCTTTGTTACAGGGCGTGTAGTTGTGGTGGTCGGTGCGAGCGGTTCCCGCTCCAACCGTCAAGCTGGCAGCGAGCGCGTTGAGCATGAACCCGCATTACCACGGGTACGCGGAGCTGAGCTCGCCACACCCGCCCTCACCGGAGACTGCATTCGCTGCAAACGGCCACGACTACCCACACAACAATAACAACCCAGCACTTAAAGAATGTGCTGGCTGTGGCGGCAAGATCGTCGAGAGGTTCCTCCTTCACGCACTAGACAGATACTGGCATCACGGCTGTCTAAAATGCACGTGTTGTGGACAAGCGCTCGCGGATATGGGCCGCTCTTTTTACTTCAAAGGCGGGATGATACTATGCAAAAACGACTACACAAGGTGAGTAAACATATTTGTTTGTTAAATTAGCTTTAGGCAATCAAGTTTTTGTGGATACAATAACGAGGGTGTATTATTCAGAGCGCTGCATTTGCGATTACACAACTTCAAATAATTATCCAATTAGTTTATTGTTTATTTTGGTAACGTTGCGTCTTTAGCTGAGATGGGACTGTTCAGAACCTTTTATAATTAAATTCACCTTACTACTCTAATTAAGGCAAACATTTATTTCTCAGTAATTCTCACTCTAATTAGCTCCTCTTATGGCTTGGCATTCGATATCCAGATCCTATCAATCGTTTTCATTGATCATCAACAAAGGACAGTTTTTAGTCCATCATCTTACAATGACAATAGCTTGTCTGTCAAATGCATCGAACACCCAAAAAAATATACCGAGAAAGCCGCAGGCGCATTGTTATGAAAATGCTTGGAACCGTTGTGTGTTTTCTACCTGGGAGAGTAACAAAAAACTCACAGTTTCGCACACAACGCGATCGACGGCATCTCTGTGTCTCGCTAAATTGGCCTCGTTAGGTTTAATTTAGGATGTAGGTAACAAAGTTTTTACTGTGACTCTTCGCTAATTAATCTTTTCAAAGTTTGCCCCATTATTTCGTATTGTCAATGCACTTACATACGTCGTTGCTCCATAAATTTAAATTGAAAATGTTAAATACTTAATCCACGTAGGTCTTAGAATTACAATAGATACGTGTGTGTTAAAAGTATTTGTGTCTGGTTCATTGTGACAGAACAATAAAATTTTATTATTAACACAATTGAATACGTTGCGATCATCAAGTAAAAAGCAGAACTACGCGCTCAGCTGCCGCAGACGCACCTCACGCGTTAATTAGTTAATCGCTTCGAATTCGTCCCATTTACCTGAGCATTTCGCCCGATGCCTCCTTCCACGTGACACGCTTTTTATAATTTGACATACATTAGGATACTTACAAATTTTCTCTTCGACATTCGATCCCTCTATTTGATGTTCATATAAATTCGTTTTACACTGATTTCCCTTGTTTACCGGCGGTTGTGAGCCAAACTAGAGCGAAGAGTGGGCCAACCGCGGCGCGGGTCGTGCGTCGTAGATTCGATAAAGGTCGTCTCACAGTTGACAGAGACGGCGCGGCCTAACGAGCGGGGCGGGGGCGACAGAGGGGGATGAAGAAGTGCGGTTCCGTGCATGTCTCTGCTGATTGACCCGCGTCACTCGGCAAACAACAACTAACGAGTCGGCCCCCGCGCCTCCAGGTACGGTAATTCGCTCGAATCGCTCCCGCGGCGGCCGCCACCGACTTTACTTACACGCCTTCCCTGATTGAGACTCCTTAACAAAATTAACGCTCTCTCACGCAAACAACTGCCACGTTTATCCGCCGCCTTTTGTCCCGGTATGATGGATTGCGGTCTCGCTCCACGGAGATGCCGATGATGTTTCGTGCTGCTGATTACTGTGTACGCACAAAATTATTCGTTGAGGTATTACCATCTATGTGGCACATAAGAACGGAAGCGATACGCAAACATTAAGCTAGCTTAATTGTTATTTTATAATGATTTATAACATCTTCATTGTTTAGACGAACACATTAATTATAGCTTATAGTATACATCCATATTGTAACGATGTTATTACCTTATCTGGTTTAAACGCCACATATTGGAATAATTCAATGATGCTGAACAAAATATAGATAGGAACTAGAATCTTATGGCATATCACTTTACTCTTGAGATATAAACTTTAATCGATTTAACCACTTGAAGAACTCTTTTTCCTTAAAAAATATTGTAAATAATTCACAGTGACAAGAATATTTAAAAGTCTGGCAACGCACATGCAACTCTTCTTGTGTTGCAGGTGTTTATGGACAACGGTAGCTGCTTTCCATCAGAACTGTTTGCTCGTTTACCTCGCTACCAATAAAAAAAAATGCATTCAATAAAATTATTTAAAATAACAAATATTGCAATGACAGTACAATAATCATTGAAAACGGCAATTGAAATTTCAATAACATATATCAATAACATTTCAATCACTCTTTTGACACCATTAAAATCTGTAGTCTTGAAAAATCGTGTGCATGTAACATAAGGCACGTCCAGCTATCTGTTGAAAGCAGGTTCGTTAGTGCGCGTGCGGGCTCCATCAATCAAGGCAATTGGTGCTCAATCGGCAATCAGCCTCCGCCTGCCGCCGCCGCGCCACTAACGAGGCACCCTGCAAAATACCAACTTCTTACCCACTCCAACACTTTCATGTTAACTCTTTTCACATGGCAACTAACTGCCAACTTGTTATTTCCGCTGAATTTATCTGTATGTCAGAGGTGGCGTACATTAGTAGCAATTTATTAACTGTTTCCGATTACAATAAATATTCTTGGTGATGACTCATTTATTCACCTTGATAACCAATTGTATTTTATTAACAATAATTCCAATAATTATTCCCTTTTAGAATTTGTATTTAAAAAAAAATTAAATTACAAGAAGTTAGTCGATATATTTAATATGAAATATTATGTAAAAATATTATTAAAATATAAAAATCATATTCCAATAATTTTAAGTAATTGAAAATTTTCTAAGCAGGTATGATTCATTTAATATTTATTGGAATATGATTCTTATGTATTAAAATGACAAGTATTATATCTAGCAATGAAGAAAAGTTGCTTAGAAATATTATAATTTATCGATAAACATCAAAAGCTACTAAGTATAGAACAAACTCACACAAGATTTAAACTAGAGATTCGATTAATCCATCACTTTATTTATATATAATTATAACATATAAAACATACTTATATTATACTTATCACCAGAGGGAGACTGTACAAAAGTCGTTTGCTTGGGTACCTCTGTCCTATTCGTGTTTCAACCGTAAAGCAGTTGTGTTTGCATGGCTGTGTTTCGGTTTGAAGGATGGGATATGGCGTGAATTTATAGGGTACAGAAGAATAACACCTGAGTCCTCAGGAATGGCAACGCCTGGGGGATATCATGGGCGAAACAGTATACTCTGTTATCTATCCAAGGTATTGCTCATGTCTATAGGCAACGGTTACTGCTTTCCATTAGGTGGGCCGTCAGCTTGTTTGCCATTCTAAGTTGTATAAAAAAAGCTTATATTCTCTGTAGCTTAAACTGAAATTAATTAACATTTTCTCATTTTGCTACCAATATTTCGAAATTTCGCTACACCATGTGATACGTGATACTATCACAATATACTTACGTACTATGACGTCGAAGCGTATATTTATTAAAAGCCATGACCGGGGCGGGGGGCGTCCAATTTGGCCGGTCGTTAAGGCGCAAAAGACGTACAGTTTAATTGCAACCGCTCGCCCCTAATGAGGCCCTGTGTCCGGGCCGGGCGCTCTTCGTGCGCAAATTGACATTGTACGTAAATTGATGCCAAACTACTACAAAACCTGATGTTACACAGCAAAACAAATCTTCATTAAATCATGAAATGGGACCATCAATAATGATTATAAGAATTGGTGATGTACTATGTGAACTTAACATTTCTTAATTAAGCATTTTTAAAAATAAAATCTACTATAAACCAAATAGCTGAAAAGGATAAAATATTTCAGTGGTTTGTTATGTTACGATAGTTACTTTAAATCGCCAATGTTAACGCCCATATATATACCAGTCTGAAAACGCAAGAAAATCGCTGGCGACCAAAGTAGCTGCTAATGTTCGCATTCTAATTCATACTACATACCTATTTAAAAGTATTATATTGAGTAGTTTTTCAGTTTATCCATTACAAATAAACAGACAAACAAATCTTTCCTCTTTGTAATATTAGTATAGATAGGCCAAATGTGTGATTATTTATATACCTACATCGTCTCTCTGATTCTCTGCGTGCGTGCGTGCATGCGTGAATGCGTGCGTACGTGCGTGCGTTAGTGCGTGCGTAAGTGCGTGCGTAAGTGCTTGCGTGCGGGCGTGCGTGCGTGCGTGCGAGCGTGCGTGCGTGCGTGCGTGCGTGCGTGCGTGCGTACGTGCGTGCGTGCGTGTGCGTGTGTGTGTGTGTTTGTGTTTGCGAAATGATAAAAATTTGACGACAAAGAAATCACAAGTAACATATAGTTTCTTATTTATTTACGTAAACTATATTATAACCTCGTAACTAATTACCCTTGTTGCAGTAATCAAAATAAATGATAATATAAATAAAATTATCTTCTGTAACCAACAATGTTCCCTAAACAATGGTATATTAGCATCATTTTACATTAGGTAATTGTATTTGAAATAACTACTTTGAACTAAATTACTTTAAAATTAATGTAGCGTCTATTGTTGACCTTAAATGTTTAATTTAATTAATTAACCCTTTATCTTTGATGTAACAGTAACACAACTAGATGAATTTAGTGTAGTTTAGTGTTTCCAACGAAGATCCAAGCTAGACTTGTCTGGACGTAGATTTAATTAAGAAGGCACATGACCTCGATTAATTTCATCGTCTCTTTGTCCGTCTGTCGTCTTAACTTTAACTGCTAAACTGTAACTAAAGAGCGTCCTCTGGCGATCGTCGCTTACAACTCGATTACCAATGTCCGATCCAGTCTCAGTTTTGAGGTTAAGCCCAGTCAATTTAGTTACTGTTCTCGACTATTCCATTTCGCTCTTCACAAATTAAATATGCCCATCTTACAAACAGAATGACTGAATTGATTAGAGTTGTTTAAAATAGGTGGTCCTTAATTCGATTTTAATGATTTTTCCATAGTAGTCGCACTATTAATTTCGTCAAATTGAAAATCGATATTTTATAAATACTTAATATTAAACTATCTAATACATGAATGACGGGGGGGGGGAAGGGATTGTTAGTAATGGAGACTGAGAATCCCATTGCTAGCAATATACCCAACCAGGTCGACCTCCTCGCGGTTCTCCCTGGAAACTATCATGGTTAATTCCTGATGAATTCATCACGATGGCCT